CTTATGTGAGAAACCTGGTGAGTTCTATAAAAAAAACATCTGTAGCTCAGGGCCTTTCAGATCTGTAGTGTTACGTGTTTTGTTTAAAAGTCTCACCTTTTGTGTCACTTTGACATTTGTTTTTGAAAAAGTGAAGAAGGTGATTTGAACTTAAAGATATAAATGACAGGAACAAAGCTATTCCTGTTATTTGTCAGTCGTTTATTTTTGTGTTCATATGTTCACTAATTTATGGACCAATATGAAAAGTATTTCCTTTTTTTCTTTTTTCTGTAGTTCGTCTTTCTGTTTGAGCACTTTATATAAATGTGTTCAGCAGCTGACGCCACATATCACCAGCAGGAGGCAGCAGTCACTCATTTTTATTTATCTATGTAGAGAATAACTCCAAAATCAAAAAGCAACAATAGACTTAATTTATTTTTTAAACCTATAAATTATTGACTGAATTTTGGCACTAGAATCTATACTACTTTATTAATTTATTTTACTTTTACAGATTTGTTTGTGTTTAATTCCTCCTCCAGTTTTTTCCCCACCACCACAAGTTTGTTCACAAACTATTTCTGTAAGACAAGAAAGAACAACTTGAGATTTTTTATGAGAGATTTGCTTCTCGATTAAATATAAAGATTCAGGAAAAAAAACTAAATGCTTAAAAACAAGGAGCCTTATTACAACAACTGATGCAGAAAGACTTCAGTTTCTCTTCTTCAGGACGAGGAAACTCGAGTTTTGGTTGTTCAGGCCGTAACGTCTGATACTTTACATAACTGTGGAAATCTGAGACATTATGTTTATAACGTCTTCCAGTGTGAATTCATTTTTATCATCCTCTAACCGGAAACAAGTTTGACAGTAAGAGGATGAAGATTAGAGGGGACGCTGTTTGGATCCTCTGGACCCTGCAGACCTTCACTCCCACGGAGAGTCTGCTTCCTGCAGCAGCACTTTAGTTTACTTTGGTTGCTTTTTGCGCAATTGAAAATAGATTATATAGTAGAATAGAAGATTTTTGTGGTTTGTCTGATTATGACAGTTTTGTGTACTGAACTAGTTTCTGTTTATTTACATTGTAGAATATGTTCATGTACTACATTGACTAAAAATGAATAAAGAAATGTCCGTCCACTTGTTGTGAGCGCAGCAGGTAGAGAAAAGGCCACATTCCTGCTTAGTGACGGGGAAACAAAGCTTTCTGAACTTTCACTGCAGACAAAGGGTTGAAAAGGGCTTTCTAAATGGCGACGCCTGCAGGAAGCGCCCGGTGCTGCAGGCGTCTGGATGATTACATCCAAGGAAAGAGGAAGCTGTCAGCTCACAACTTGCTGCCGTTTGCCATCACTGTCCCTGTCGCTTCATCAAATGCTGCATAGATCTTGTCTAAATCTTAAAAATAACTCCAGGACTTTATCGTCTCTCTCAACACCTGACATGCTGAATCTTTATAAAAATATTAGATTGTGGTTAGACAGTGTTGGAACTTGAGTTTTCTGCTTTGAACCGGCCCGTCTTCAGCAGAGAAACGTCCGTACAGGTCGATCATGCAGCAGCTTATTACGACCCTGTTTAGGTTCGTTGTTAGGTCGCGACCTCCAGTTCAATTTTATTTATATAGCGCCAAATCACAACAACAGTTATCTCACAGCGCTTTTCATAAAGAGCAGGTCTAGACCGTACTCTGTGATGATATTTACAGAACACTAGGAGACAGAGGCAAGGAAAAACTTCCTTTAAGAGGCAGAAACCTCGAGCAGAACCATGACTCAGGGTGGGCGACCATCTGCCTCGACCAGTTGGGGTGAAGGAGAGAGAGAGAGAGAGAGAGAGAGAGAGAGAGAGAGGTTGCTATAGACTAAATGAATGCAATAATGGGATGAGGTTGCATACAGAGGGAGAGAAAGTAGAGGAGAGAGGAGCTCAGTGCATCATGGGAAATCCCCCGGCAGTCTAGGCCTATAGCAGCATAACTAAGGGATGGTTCAGGACTCACCTGAGCCATGCCGTCTCTCCGGATCAGACCAGGTCTTCCCCAGAAAGTCTGCCAATGATCAACAAAGCCCACATCGTTTGCTGGACACCACCTCGACAACCAGCGGCGGAATGACGACGTGCGGCTATACATGTCATCACTGGTCAGATTTGGCAGGGGTCCAGAGAAAACTACGGTGTCCGACATCGTTTTTGCATATATACACACCGACTCAACGTTAATCTTAGTGACCTCCGATTGGCGTAACCGGGAGTCATTACCGCCGACGTGAATAACAATCTTACTGTATTTACGTTTATCCTTAGCCAGCAGTTTCAAATAAGACTCAATGTCGCCCGCTCTGGCCCCAGGGATGCACTTAACTGTGGCCGCTGGCTTCGCTAACTTCACGTTTCTCAAAATGGAGCTGCCAATGATCAGAGTTGGTTTCTCAGCGGGTGTGTCGCTGAGTGGGGAAAATCTGTTAGAGTCGTGAACAGGTTGATGATGCCCCGTGGACTTTGAATGCTTACGACTATTCCTCCTTCGGACAGTCACCCAGCCCCCCCCCCCTTTCCTGGCTGCACAGGGGATGCCGGGGGACGGCTACCAGAGGCTAACTCAGGCCGTTCCTGGCTAGCTACAGTAGCTAAAGACTGATCTACCAAGGTGCGGAGCCGGACTTCTAAATCACTGAGCCTCGCCTCCATGTCTATAAATAAACTACACTTATTACATGTACCATTACCGCTAAAGGAGGCAGAGGAGTAACTAAACATCTGACACACCGAGCAGGAGAAAGTAGGAGAGAGAGAGGGAGAAGGAGAAGCCATCGCTAGCTGCTAAGCTAAAGTCGCTAATGGCTAAGCTAAAGTACTGTAGCGTCAGCTACCGAAACTTTTGAAAACAACTGAGACTGAACAGCAGTCACTAAAAAATGGAAAGAACTGTGAGTGTTTAGGCAAAATTACTGTAAAGAATAAGTGTTTAGCGAACAGTTGGCTGCTGTAATCTAACAAATGTAACTGTTATTTAGCGAGAGCAGCACAACACGGTACCAACACACAAGCACCGGAAACGGAAATGAGTCGACACGCTTACCGCAATACGTCAGCAGTACGTCAGCACCGTCCTTCTCATGTATATGTATATATGTATTTATGAATGTATAAAGCTGTAAATTAAGACACAATAGACAAACATGAACAGCATTATCTGTAGGTGTAGCTTTTGCTCTACATTTTCCTACTTATTATTGACAGATGTGGTGATAACAAAATGCTCCAACATTACGTGGAATTACATATTTACTTTTTTAGGGGATGACCACCAAAACCCCAACACAAAAATACATCTTAATATTTTACATTATACCACCCTGTGAAAGCATGTTTTAATCCCTGAAGTGTACTTCAGCTCTCCTGTGTTGTGCATTTAGGCTCTATCCTGCTTCGCATCCCCAAATCCCTGACAAAACAATAGTTTTCTCCTTCTGTGTGAAGGAAAATTGTTGTGTTGTGTACAGATCAGTTATATCATATAGAATTATATTTGTTATATATATCATATTTATAGAATTGCTATCTTAGTGGCCCAAGTTGTTGCAATAACCGTAACATACGCTGTCAACATGAGGCCACTCTGAAACAATACAAGTACACCCTTAAAAACAAAGACAGAACAAACACAGCAAGAAGCAGCTAAGATAAATAACTATAGAGGAATATGTGTATCCAGTAACCTGCAGCATCATTAATAAACGACTTGTCAACTTTCTTGATGACCACAATATTCTGCATAAATGCCAAATCGTTTTTTTGGACCATATATTTACCCTCCAGACTCTAACAGAAGAGTTAACCATTAAGAAAAGAAAGGTGTCTGCCTTCTGCTGACTTAAACGCCCCCCAACGCTCACGTTGCTTTTGGTTTGAAAGCACCTTTAGGCTTGGGGGTGGCTCGACAGCGCCCACTAATAAATTTCAAGATTTTATAGTTTAGTAGTCCTCTAGATGGGCAAAGTTTTCTAGGCACACGTCACATCTTCAGCATCAGGTGCCCCGCCCTTAACCCAACAGGAAGTCGGCCATTTTAATTCTAACGTTTATTTGAAGTGCATTTTTCTGATGTTCGTACGCTTTACTTTTATGTATTCCTCCTAACGTGTTAACCAGATGCTCCTAAAAACAAAACACCTCCACGATGCTCAGTTACAAAAAGTTTTGAGTTTTCACTGTTGCCATGGCAACTGTTGTATTTGTTTTACATGTTTCTCTCGGTCACGCTTTTGTTTTAGCCTATGTGAACATGTGTAGTGTTTCTAATTCTTCTTTGTCCTTTTCTATGAGAATTATTTAGTTATTAATATTAACCTCTTGATGTCTTGACTTGTAGTAACGACCTGCTTTCACCAATTTAAGTCCACTCCTCCCAGTCAGTATGTGTCGCATGTAGGCCGTTATGTTACGCACTAAAACAGGGACGGATGGTACCGTCCAGATAAAAGAAAATATCAAACACAGATAGTAGGACTGCTTTTTCCCTGAGGATCCTCGGGGTCTTAATCTCGGCATCATCTGTATCTTGAAACCTTGTAGAATGAAGCTACATAGAATTATCACCCAAATCTGCAGCTCCACTCAGCTTTGAAGAGCTTTATAGTGAGTTTCAGCTCCTTGTTTAGCTGTCCGGCCTCCAGCTTTACTGTTTTCATTCACCCTCACAGTGCTGCAGCATGTTCAGTGAAAAAGCTCTAAAAACACATTGTACACTACCAGCTAAGCACCAAAAAGCAGACTGACACAGTTTAGCAGCTAAGATAGCTCCAGATTTTTCCCTCAGGATATTGTTAGAGACCAAAATCAGAGCTAAAAAAGACTTCATACTATTTTATCAGGTGCCCAGAAACAAACTCCAATCAAATGCTAAGATGTGTAAATAAGCAGCTGTTTGCTAAGTTTTCCTTTACCCCCTGAAAGGTCGGTTAACAAACTAAACTTGAAGCCAAAGCCACGTCACATATATGTTTTATTATGAAGAAAATGAAGTAATATTGATGATGAGGGACAAAACTCTTCTGACAGTCTACAGGATGTTTTTAGGGTTCTGGTTAAGCACTCAGTACAGTGATAATAATGTGCTGTGTGTATTAGCAGATAGAGAGTACATTCACCAAGGACTACAAATAAACAGAAGTACAGTTATATTTTAGTTTTATGCTGCGTTCCAGGCAACTTGGAACTGGGACATTTCCAACCTCCAACTAGAAAAAGTGAAGTCGGATTTCCTGCTTGTGGAAAAATCTGTACTCCGACTTCACGAGTAGCAGCTGATGTCACACAACAACGGCAGCTCCCGTGGAAGCACACCGTGTAAATGTGTAAACCATGAACTAAAAGGCAAAGTAAAGTATTACATACTAGTATCAAGTAGTAAAACTTGTTCTGCATGTAAACTGATTGTAGAAATATGTTGGTAGCTGGTTACAGTAAACAATCTGTGAAAGTCATCTTCTCTGCCCAAAAGTTATTCAGGAAAGTGTTAAAAATACCCAGACATGTGAAGTCATTTGGAAATATCCCATAAAACCTTTGCTGACTTTGAGGATTACCAACTGACGAAGCTAGAAGGATACACAGTTAACGAGTAACGTATATTTATCACTTGTTTTTAATAAACACCAAGTGCACTGCTGAGGGTGTAACTGTATATCAACCTGCCAAAGAAACATAAGTTTGGTCAGCCATGTTTATCGTTTACATTTGGCGTCATGCACCGACCGGTCTGGAACGCGCCATTAGAGCTCAGGCTTGTCCTCCTTGTGGAAGACTTTCCCATCAGGCTGCTCTCTCCACTTCAGGGTGACTCCACTCACCCCTTTCTCCTTCAGCCTGTCCTGGAGCTGTGAAACACAAATGGCAGCCATTTTGACACATTTGCTCAAATCTACATTGTTTGTTGAGAGCTTTAGCTTTAGTTTGGCCTGCTGTCCACAGGAAATCAAGAAAGACACACAGCCAAACAAAACAACGGGCCCAGAAAATGAACAGTTTGCAAGTGTCTCACGGTGGATTTTGGAGACTCACCTTTTTCAGCATGTCTGCTTTCACAGCAGGGTCATTCAGATCCACAGAGGAGTCCTCCAGCTTCAACCTCAGCTTTACCGCCTGCCTCCTCACTGGTGCGTAGACACAGAGGAACATGCTGTGGAATTAGCTTCCAGACTCATACATGTAACAGTTTAACATCAGTTATTCTCTCTCTTCCATGAAGCTCAGTACTCACCAGGGACGCTGTAGCAGACAAATGGTAATCTGGTTTCACAGGGAAGAAACTTCCAACTTCCTGAACTCTGCAAAGCAGCACCACATACGACACTCATCGAGCCTAATGGGTTAATATCTGTGTTCCAGTATGAAAATGAGAAGCCACTCCCATCAGACCAGTACATGTCAGGATCTCTGAACAAACCAAACCATGCCACATGTCCATATGGCACCAAGCTCCCGATCTTCAGATTCTCAGTGTTGTTCCTCACATTGGCCAGGTCTGTGAAGTTCTTCCTGCAGTAACTCTGAGCACTGGACCAACTCATTGGTTCAATCACAGCAACAAATTCAGGGTCCAGCTGTGTTCCTGCAGTAAAAAAAAAAAGGGAATTGTTCAGGTAATTTTGAAACAATATTTATTCTAGATCAAAATAGACGCTGTTAAATTCTTACCTCTGTAACAGATAAATGGAAATTGTCTAGAGCATCTATCATCCCACCAAACTCCATCCTTTCCAATGGTCACACAGAATTCAGAAGCTGCTTTAAAGTTTGGTTCGTTTTCATAGTTATGCCAGCTCCTAAATCCAGCTCCTGTCCCCGTGTAGCCGTCTGACCACCTCCAGTTGATTTTAGTGTACAGGCCAATCCAGACATCAGAGCTGAGACCAGAAGAGGAAACTGTGTTGATAAGTTGATTCACTTCTTCAGTGTTTTCAATGGTGGCCCGGTCTGTGTATGTCTTTCTGCAGTAGGTCTGAGCTTCAGTCCAGTTCATAGGACCAGCAACATAGTGGTAGTGATGGAGGAGGCATGAGGCGGAGATGTCCCAGCCTGTGAGGGGAACAAGTGTTCGATTTGTTAAAGCTTGTATTCACAGTCTGAGTTTGTCTGTTTACATTACTGAAGCTTTTAATTTGTCGGTGGGCTGATTGGATCTTTATAACATTAAAGAGGTGGTATTCTGCTCATTTTCAGGTTCAAATCATATTTAGGGGTTCAGAACAGGTTTACATGGTTTCATTTCACTGCACGTTGCTGCAGCTCCTCTTTTCAGCCTGTGTTGAAGGCTTCGTTTTAGCTACGGAGTGATACATCTTGTCTCTACATGATCTTTGTTGGGAGTTGCACATGCTCAGTTCCTAGTTAAGGACTACTAGCCAATCAGAAACAGCTCGGGTTCAGCTGTACATGTTGCCGACCAGCTTAGCAACATGGACTGGAGCGAGAGTTTCAGAGCGGTGAGTTATTAATCTGTAA